TGTTCCCTAATATTTGAGCAGTTAAACCCCCCCCCCCCCCCCCCATCTCTCCTCACCCACTGCACTTAATACTTGTGAATAGTTTGCACTTGGTTTATTTTTGCAATTATTTGAAGATTTTGTTTTCCAAGATAAAGAGAAAGGAGAGGTCATACATTTTTGGTATTTTATGCAGTTCATATTTTATGTGAACTACAGATGTTGTTGATTTATTATGCAGTCCTCTTGCACAAGCGATTGTGTCAGAAGGTTGGGTGCACAAGAACCGAGTTTTATTTAATTTCTTATTCCAGTGAGCAAGACTTTTTTTATATTTTATATGCTGTCAATTGAAGAAAATAGAAATTAAAAAAAAAATCACAATTGATGCATTTGTAATATATATATGTATGTGTGTGTGTGTGTATAATATATATATGTATGTGTGTGTATTACAAATACTCTCAATCTTGACCTGTTCAGACAAGAACATAAGTATAAAAAAAAAAAGAAAAACGGGAGCGAGGAGTCAACCCTAATGTAAATCTGTGAAAATGACACATGGTGTGATTTGGTCAGTCTCGCTGTTGTTGTACTGTGACAAGATATGAGGCATGTGTGTCACCACGTGGTATCAAATAGGTCAGCTGAAGGAGAAAAAAGAAATACCATATATGGACATCAGTTTCCTGCTCTATGTTATAGTGGATCATCCTTATCTTGCTTTAGACACTAGGCACCAACCCATGTGACCAACCCAGGTCACCAATACTGTATACTAACTAAATCTGCAGGTTTTTTTAAGGACAAATATTTGGAATTCAACGTATAGAAATAAAGTCACAAATGTTCATCTGACTGCTGTTTTATTTGGTTTAAAAGAATTTTTGAGAAACTGCAAAAAAAAAAAAAGATTTCATTTCTGTTTTGTTTTAATTTGTCAGCTCATTTCACATTTTGCTGACAAGGCATATTTACACCATGGGAAAAAAAGATTGTTCAGCAGCGGGAAATGGACTGTTCGTTTTATTTTCTAGTTCATTCATTTGAACAGTTCTGTTGTATTAGATTTGGTTACACTCTCACAGTTTAACCCCCTAATTTTTATAAAAATAAAACAAACTTTTTTATTCCTACTTTTACCTACTCACCTTGAGGTGAGAATTGCATTGTTTGTTTCTAAAGCCCTGATTGGCTTGGCTCCTTCCTACCTCAGTGATTAGTTAATTCAGTGCAGACAGAATAGGATGTTGAGGTCACAACAGCTTTTATTGGAAGTGTCAAGAACCAAAGACTGTGGAACAATCTCCCTGCTGACCTTTGCCCAAAATTAAGATTTCTAGCGTTTTTTAATCCATGCTTAGCATTAATTTATTCAGATGGGCTTTTAATGCCTAACTGTGGTGTGACTTTGTAAATTTGCTCTTTTATTCTGCACTTTTTTTTTACTCTTCTCTGCATTTAATTCGATCATTAGTTCCTGTTTAATTAACTTTAATTGATGCACTCAAAGGTCATCTTTGCCATGTTGAAAAGGTCCATATAAATAAATGTTGACTAATTAATGTCGATTGATTAACTCCAGAATGGAGGCCGTGCTCGTGTGCGTCAGGGGCCGGTCTTTAGTCCATGATGGATCACAACGTAGAGTCTGTTGGGAGGATAAAAAAAAAAATCCTTCTGTGTCTGTGATGTCAAAACACAACAAAAAGCACAAACTGTGAAGAAGTGCATGTTTTGACACCGACACGTTACAACCAGCGTCATCGTCTGCAGCTACAGTAGCTCGTCTGTTGGTGATGAAGACGTTTTCACACAGGTTGTATTTATTTATTTAGACCTCCCACATGCTTGGAAACCACCGTTGTTAACCATTTGGTGTATGTGTGTGTGTGGGTGTGTGTGTTGATATGTGAATCTTTTTCTGTATCTGCTATTGTAAGGTCTATCTGTGTTTCGTCTGGGGACTAAAGCCCATTAGAATACTCAATAAATTCTGTTAAAAATTGGATCAGATCTAGGATTGAGATTTAAATGTATGTGTTTATGTTGACCCCCCTGCCACTCCGCTTTAGAGGGCATGGTTCTATTGCAGAGAGGGTTAAAGGAAGACAAATTAGTTTGTATTTTCCATATTTTTATTTTTGTCCCAGAGTGGGGAATTTCCATTGATTTGTCAATTTTATTTCCTTTTTTTTTAGTCAGAACAGGGGGTCATCAGCCTTAGTGTTTTAAATGAAGATCAGTGAAATTCAGGCCTGGACAATATACTGTAGTGCAGTCTACCAAAGGTCAGAGCTGCAAAAATATTTGGAACCACTGGGTAAGGATTACAGTTTTAGCTTGTGATTTAGGTTTTGTTAAATATGTCTAAATAAATGGAGGAGTTCACGAGGTTAGCAGAGTGTTGGTGGATTTTATGAAAAGAAAATGAATGCTAAAAGAACTAGACCTAGAAGAAATAGTAGAAAATGTAGTAGGTGGCCCTGCTGTGAACTGCTGCAACGAGAACTCCTAATTGATCATGATTGAATTAAAGGTTTAGTAATTGATGGACAGCGAACCACCTGACGCCGTTCGTGCCGACACGATAGCTCCTTGTGGGTTTGCTGTGGACCTAACAAACAATTAATCTTATCAAAGAAAGTCAGCAGTAGCAAAAAATGATACATTCTTACACTGCAGCCCACTCTATTCAAAAGGTATCCTATAATTGGAATGTAATTACACTGTTTGGGCAGTAAGGTCTTACTCACACAGTCATGCTGAGTGACCAGTGAGGTCACTAATTATCAGTTATGTTCAGGCCATCGGAGACTTAATCATACAGTTTTATTTCTGCCCTTCGCCCCCTGGTGTAATGAAATATGAATATAACAACCGTTGTGGACATTTCTCCTCAGGCCTTAAAGCTATATTGCAGTTAAAACATATACAGTTAAATTTAGTATCGTTCCCAGGGTGGAGGTGCTGGAGCCGTTCAGTTTGACTAATAATCCAATCCTGCATTTCTTTTAGTATCTGAAGTAAATCTACGCGCACTCAGGGATCAAACTGGTGAACTTCTTCCTGTAAGGCAGATAGATATAGATTTGATTTTGCAGTTTCTACAGTAGCAGTGGAACTTTTTCTTTTATTGGAGGAATACAATCTATGGAGAAACAGCAGTGAAGCTACAGTGGGGCTTCAGGATATGAGTTACTCCAAATACGAGTTTTCCAAGTTAAGAGTAGGCAGCTTTTGCAAGATTTTCTTTGAGATACGAGGAAACATCGAGTTACGAATGCTCAACTGAGCTCCATTGCTTCACTCGAGGCTGTCGCGGTCACTGTCCCTCGCTGGGTTATTTCACCCATCTTTCTAACAATAATATCATTTTTTTGTGTGTTTCCAGTTAGTGGGTGGCTTCATCCTGGCCATTGGTATCTATGCTGAGGTTGAGAGGCAACGCTACAAGACACTGGAGGGGATTTTTTTGGCCCCAGCTATAATCCTGATCCTGCTGGGAACTGTCATGTTCATCGTCTCGTTCATTGGCGTCTTGGCTTCGCTCAGGGATAATTTAACTCTTCTGAAAGTGGTGAGTGGTGTTCATCGAACAATTCAAGCAATCCATTCATTCATTCATCCATTCATTCAGCAATAGTACTGCATCATTACTGCCCCCAATTTGTTCAAAAGTATTACTGCAGATATGTGGCGCTGTATGTCTCTGTCACTGGTGTGGAACACCAGGGTTCACCTCCTGGTACCCTCCGGTGGACTCACCTCCTGCAGGAAGGTTCAGAGGGGTTGGTACAGTGCAGTGTGATTTGGGTGGCGGCCATAGAGAATGCTGCCCCCGCGACCCGGTAATGGATAAGTGGATAAAAATGGATGGATGGATGGATGGTATTACTGCAGAAATTCAGTCTAATTTACTATATTTTGCGACAGCAGTGGTAAAAACAAAGGTGGAATGCTGGCCAGTGAGTGGGGAAAAAAAAGAACCAAAGCAAAATACTACAGTTGAATGGTGTATAACTGCCTTTCTTTCTGCTGTGTCTCTCCACACAGTTTATGTACACTCTGGCTATCTGTCTGATCCTTGAGCTGCTGGGAGGAATCTTGGCTCTGCTGTTCAGGAACCAGGTGAGGACACGAAGAGTCTAGTAATAGTCTGTTGAAGTCGGTTAGACACAAAGGTACATATGGAGTGAGGGGCACAACTGACATGAGATGAATTATTATTAGATAAAGTCACTGGTCTACTTTTGGTTCAGTCTTTGCTTTCAAATGTTATTATTACATAATATATTTTTAATCATATCTTCAGATTGTTCCCAGTACAGAGCCCTAGTTTTGAGTGAAACTCTTTGCCCTGCAGATAACAATAATGCAAATTTTTTAAAAATAAAACTCTTCTCTGGTGGTTATAACTGAATGGTAATAAAAAAAACTCTGGTATTTGCTGCATCCCAGAAGTGATGAGGATCAGAGCAGGCCATCCATCACTGCACCAGTACCAGGGTTATTAACATCAGTGGTGTTAGATCCACCTGGGGGACCAGCTGACTGTGGTCTGTGTTGTTCTTTGGATTCGTAAAAGTCTTTAATAAAAAACCTGAGCCAGTTCCGTTGCCTACTGCTGAACTTCAGAACTGAGGGCTTTCATTTCATTTAGAGTCCGAAATTAAAAGGATGAACCAATGCTGACACCGGTGCTTATCCTCCCTTGGACTAGAGAAAGTTAAAGGGTGAGTTATTTGTTTTGAGAAGAAAAAGAAGAAGAATTTATTTTTAAGGATGAAGACCATAAACGTCAGGAACGTGTTTACTGGTGTAATAAAAGATAAATTAGAAGTGCCTTAGTTTCACGTTGACTTATCTGTTCAAAGCAGCTGAGGGCTCTGTTTGAACGAGCCGCACTGCCATAATAAGTAAAAAATAAAAAAATAAAAATAATATAGGACTGGACAGCTGGGTGACATATGAAAGCTGAAACACCTTCAAGAAATATTTACCTTGTGTCACCTCCTTCTTACCTACGTCCATGGGCAGGCCCAGACAGTGGTGATATATTTCACACATTTCATCACCATTACATCTCAACCCCCTAGAAAATGTCACCAGTTCCAAAGGGAACTGGAGGTGACGGTGTTTACTCATTCACAACGTTTCTATGAAAAGGTTTTATTTTGTTTTAAATGCATTGCTCTTCTTGTTTTTCACTAAATGTCTCATTGATCATAGACGGTGGAGTTGGTAAACAAAAACATCCGAAGGGGAATTCGGAACTACTACGACGACCTGGACTTTAAAAACATCATGGACTTTGTTCAGATGAAGGTAGGCTGCTGTCACCTATAACACTCACGTCGTAGATGAGAAGTGAAGTTTTGTGGTAGAAATCTGGTACAGTTTATGTCACAGAAGTCATAAAAAAGGAAGAACGTTTTTTTCCCCTGTTTGGGGGATTTATGCAGGATTTTAATTAGATGTAAAAAAAAATATTTTTAAGACTGAGGTTCCAAATATAGTTTTCAGCTGATTGTGTGATTTAATACATTTATAAATAAATTTGATTTCTCCAATTCATTTTGCAAACCTACTCTGATGAATAATAAACATATATATATTAGATTAAAAAAATGTGTTAAATTATTTTAAATATTTGGTTGCTTTTTGTAATGGTCAAAAAATACGCTGTGGGAAAAAAATAAAATTACAGGTTGTATCAGAAATTTGAATCCCAGCCTCAGTGGGATTGAGGTGTATTTAGAGATGACCATAACTGCCTTTTCCCCATGTGCATTACTGACTAACTCTCAGATGGTTTAGATGCTGTGAGTTCCTTCTCGGTACTTCAGACATACCTTTTATACATCATCTCACTCCAATGTGTCGTCAGTGCTGTGTACTATTGCAGTGCAGCTAAGGAAACATCCAGTAACGTAACTGTAAGTCATGGTTTTGGACCGAGTGTAAAGTCATCATTCCATTTTGCACGACGCCACTATTTTGTTTAACCTGCGTGTGTTTGGTTGACTTCAAATGCAGACCAGTGTTATCGATCAAAACAGAATGAACAGCTTAGTCTTCGAGCTGGAGCTAAAACCAGTAACAGTAAACAGGCCTCAGTGTTGCTGCCAAAATGACAAAAAAAAAAAAAACAAGTCAGGTAGAGATTCCTAAAATGGTATGAAGCCTCCTGCAGTTAGAGGAAGACCCAGGGTTTCTCTGATGGACTCCAGGCTTTTTAAAAGAACACTCACAAAAAAAGGTTGTTAAGAACATATCTGTCTGTCTATCTATACCACAGCTATAGTGTAAGCTGTTAGCCACTGTTATCACCCATTCTTTTCCATTTAAATATTAGAACAAAGTGATCTCAAATTTAAAACCACAGGGAACAAATATTTTGCAGTAGTGTTTTTTTGGTATCAGGCAGTTTTTCGTCTCCAAAGTTGACAGTCATTCAGTTTGGATCAAACTGACTTCATTAGCCCATGTGCCCTCTGATGCTTTGACACAAATGTCATCATGCATATTCATCTAATCATTTCGCATTCATCTGGGTGATTTTTTTCTCTCTCTCTCTTTTTTGGACACAATACAAGTCTGGTGCAGTGGATGACAGTGACACTAAGATGCAGCTCAAATAGTTTATAGTATTCTTAGTTATCATAGATGGAGTTTTTTTTCTTCACACACAGGTGCAAAAATGCCTGACCAATTTTATATCCCAAATAAAACCTGAGGGTTGTATAAAAAAACAACATCCGGTGTAATTACTGTGCCAAATCACTGCCGACCACAGCTCTACCACACGATGATGAAGGTACAAGCACAACGTTTGTTTGTTTACCTGATTAAATCTAGAAGTGAAAATATATATTTTTTCTATAAACAGCATCACACCTTAGTTGTAACTGCCTTTTAGAAACACCTTTAGGAAAAGCGTTTGTGTAAGCTACTTAAAATAACACCAATTGCCATAATCCTTGTTTCCTGATTATGTCAAGAGTGTCAATACACTCTCTTATCTTACAAACGTAAATATTCTGTTCACAAAAGGCCGGGGCGAACAACAGAACACATCCAAGGCGTTCGTGGCCTCCCTGGCCGAGCTGCAGTTCATCAACCTAGTGTAACAACTAACAATACACAATCAGCATTAGAATGCAGGAGGAGCAGCCAGTAAACCCATCTGCCTATTGACACCTGGCTTGATCTAATAGACTTGGCAGATAGATCAGGCTGCACACACAGGGCCCATCAATCAGAGTGATTCGACAGGATCCTACAGTGTCTGTGTGGAAACACAGATTATTGGTCTGGATTCTCTGACGCTGCTGCTGCTGCTGCTGCTGCTGCAGCTGCTGCAGCTGCAGAGAAACCTCACGCAAAATCAGAAGTTTCCACATGCGTACAAGTTGTTTGTATTTGATTCTTATTCTATGTAAAAGTTAGTGAGATTTTATATGTAAAATTAGACACAATTCAAAATAATTTTGGTTGAAGACCAAATCAGTGACTAGACCTAGAGCTAATTCAAACAACAGTTTGTTTTTCATTCTCTCAACTGCATTTACGGGTTAGTGCAAACCCACAGTAACAGGTGTTATATTAACATCGTATGAGTTTTGGGCCTTTTCTGGACCCGTCACCTGTTGACTGTCTAGACCAAGGGTGTCAAACATACATACATATATTCACTAATATTCAGGAAATATTTTTGAAAAATTATATTACATTTATATTACATTAAATATGAATAAATAATAATAGAAACTTATAAACTTGTACTTCTCAACATGACAATAAAGGGGGGGAAACTTGGACTTTATTTGTTATTGTTATTTCTATTTTATTAGGTTATGATTGTCGGTGTGCGACTCTTGAACCAAACTGTGTTTGACACCCCTGCTCTAGACTGTAGTAGGTCTGTACCAGGACTGTTGTAGCTAACATCAGCTCTGGCGCCTGTACTGACAGCAACATGTTTTGCATTGAGCTGATACGGTCGGCTTGATGTGCTGCAGTGACAAGAAAACTCTTTGTTGTATAATTTGCACAAAATCCAACTCTTCTCCAACCTGCCGTTAGAAAATTTGTTTGATTCGGAAGTTACTCAAGTGTTACAAGTCAGATTGTTTGAAGTTTTCGATTCGTCCACTTCATCACACACCCTACTCATTGATCCTCCAATAAAAATTAATGATTGTTTATTATTCTGCTGCTGATTGACAAGGTCCTAAGTCCCTTTGGTCCTTTGTAAATACACCAAAGCCAATGGAAGAATTCGGCCTATAACAATTAGACATTTTCTGTTTGCCAAATGTTAATCAGTTACTCAGTTAGTGAGTAGTACTATATAAGACCAAACTTGAAAAATCGAAGGACTTACAGCAGACCCACCCACACTTTTGGCTTGTGAGCTGCTGTTAAAATGTCCTTCCGTCCTTAAGGTAAATGTAAATTGTCTATTCATTTATTTGATGATGGGTACTGAATGGAGTCAGCTAGGAAAATTGTCCAATTTAAATTAATTGGTGTGAAAACAAGTCTTTATTGGCTATGCTACAATAACATATATATATATATATAATATAATATAATATATAATAACATATTTGAGTGTTTTTCTTCAATGCCTGTGAGTGTATTAGTGTTGAAAAAAAGGACCAAATCCTCCGCTCCAGGGTCTCTTCGGTGAAAGCATTACTGGACCATAGCAGTTTTCTGCTGGAGGGATTACTGTAAAAATGCCTCTCTAACACAGCAGTGTTTTCTTCACTAATGCCTCTGTGCCTGCACAAAAGGATGTGTGGTGATCCCTCATTTCGACACAATACCATAGCAAACAACTCTAATCATTGGAGCTGAAACAACAAAATATCAAGATTCAAGTTCCACAGAGATTATTGTCTGCTTTAAAAATACTTGAAGTTTAGAGTGAGATGTGGATTTGAATACTTGAATTTTGGAAAACTGTTGCTGTTTATGATTAAAACATTTTCCTTCCTTGTTTCCTTCACTTTCTACTTTCACTTTCTGTCATGTTCATTACTCTTTATTCCTCTTCAAGGAAGTGAAAGCTCTTGTGAGGATTTAAAAAAAAAAAAAAACTCCACTCAAAATGAAAGTTCCCAGAAAATGATTGTTACTGCAGTGCACGCGTGTTGCTTTGTATCACACTGTATAGAAAAGTACTGACTTGAGTCTGTACCACAGATCTTCAGACGTTAATTATCATCTAAAGTTTTTGCGTTGCCTTTAGGTTCCTCCTGTTTACATGCTGACTCCATGCTGGAATATTTGTGCTGTGCCACAAAAGAGACAGAGATGAACGAACCGACACATGAGCGTTTTGACTGCACAGTCTGCCAAATCGCGAGGAAATTATTACGTATTCATCTTTTGACTTTATCTCTTGTTTCAGCCCCCACTCCCAGTGCCTTTCATCCCATTTCTCCTCTGTTCCTTGGCTATTGCCTTCTCTGACGTAATGTTCCTCTTTTCATAGATTTGTCTCAGTTAATGACAAGCCACCGCGGTTCAGATTTGGCTCATGGGGTCTTTTTATATCGCATCCCCACTTTTCATTCACTTCTGCAGCTGCTTTGTGCTCACAGAGAGTGAAAATCAAATAGAGATTTCTGTGATGTTATTTCTCCAGAGTGTGGCTGTTGGAGGCGCTCCATTTGTCATTTTTATTCAAACGTTGTAAAACACGGGATCCAAAACGGCTGTCGGACAACGTCTACCGTTGATGAGCCTCAGAGTGTGACGATGTGATTACATCAATAACTGTCATTGTCAAAAGTAAAACAAATCTGTGACCGTTTTCATGTCGTGACCGAGGGGCAAATACATTTTTGCATTTTCACTTATCCATATCAAAAACATTTTCTGCCCATTCGGCCACACCGTGGACAGTTAGAAGGTTGTGGAAACGAGGCCTAAAATATTGTCCTTATTGAGTTTGTTGAAGTTGTTTGCTGTTGCAGTATTTTCCTCAGATCTGGCTCCCAGCATCAGTTATGTTTTTTTATGTTCTGTGATTTCTCATTGCATTTCACACCACATTCTGCTAATAAGATTTCTGGCTCGTAGCGTTATTTACTGATGAATTAAGTATAGTTTTCAACAGCTTGCACTGAAAAACAAACATTTCAGCACCACAGAAACGAGAGACCAGCACTGGGTTCCACAGAACAAAATCAAACATTATTGTTTAATCCTTAATAATTTCAACTACACACTCATTTCAGGCTCCTTGTATTCACTATATATATAAAAAGAACCCTCTCTTTGTCCACCACAGTATTTAAACGATGGGCTGATTCTTTATTACTGGTCTGAGTGTCAAAATCAGAGCCATCAGTTGGCAGCAGAACAAAAGCATTTTGACCTGGAGATGTTTGAAGAAGTCAATGTTGTTCAATAATGCTCAGCCACAAGCAATAATCATTATCTGCCAAAATAACGTTGTAACTCTATTGATTCTCTCGCTGCAGTTGTACTATTTTCTGCTTTCACAAAGTCCAGACAGTGGCCATGAGGCAATAGAAAAAAATTAATTGGTTTCTTGCACAATACTTCTACTTTTTATCCCCAGGAGGAAGGTCGGTAGGTAACAATAGAGGTTACGGACGTAATTAAATCTTGAAGGAAAAAAAAGCGATGCTTGAAGCGCTGAAATGTTCTTATTTAAAAAAAAATCAACACTAATGTGAAGAGAAAGTGCACACTGACAGCTGAGGTTGTTTCATTTTGTGTGTGTGTGTGTTTTTTAAATGTGTTTGTGTTTACTTTTCTTGTTGTGGTCTAATGACTTTTGGAGAATGGAAAACAAAGTTTGTTGTCTCCAACATTCAAACTCATGAAGATAATTTGTGTTAGCCTCAGCTGGCTGTTTCTAACTGGAGCACACTCATATCCCAACTGCTGCTGTCCCTGCTTATATATTTCTGTCATCAATCATATGAGTTAATAGGAGATATTTATATTTACCTGAATGCACACACACACACACACACACACAGGGTACATCAAAATCCGGTGCTTCCTCCAGATGTAAACTGCGACACCGAGTGTTAGGATCATTACTTAAAACATTTAGCAAAAAAAGGATCATATTTGAGAATTAACCAATGACAGGAGCCGCTGCTAAATCCATAACTACGTGTAGATAATGGAATGATAATGTCAACTGACGTCTCCATAGAAGTTAATTTTGTTTTAGAAATAACCAAACAAAACAAAATAAAGTCCTCAGCCACAGTTCATTAATTTAGCCTCAGACTCTACATTAGTCAGGGGAACGCTGACAACTCCATCACCAAACAGAAGCTGACTTCAGCAGAGATAGACAATTTGTATAGCAATTAAATCTTATGAGGTGTTAAACATATGGTCTTTAATAACCTCAGACGTTGTCCAATCATAAACCGAGGGCAGCCCTGCAGGTTGAGAGACCAATTCTGCCAGAATTCTGTTTACGTTAACCTGTGCTCAGGAGTTAAATCAGAAACACAAACCTGAACTCCTGAGGTCTGCATGGTAACAATGTTTCTTTAACAGCAGAGTAACGCCGTGTTTTTGGTGTGATGTTTCTCATCTTTTGCAGTTTAAGTGCTGTGGTGGTCAAAGTCATACTGACTGGTCCTTCAACATGTACCATGATTGTTCTGCACCTGGCCCACTGGCCTGTGGGGTGCCATACACCTGCTGCGTTACCAGAAAGGTAGGTGTTTCTTTCACCGTTTATAAATACAGGCCATGGAGATGTGTAAAAACGAAACTTTCACTTTTTCATTACCGTGTCATTTACTTCCCAGTATTCTGCTGTAAATGTTATGGCTCTTGTAGCCCTGGTTTCCTTCTGTCAGCTGTGCAGACACAATCTGGTTAAGTAGACTATTATCACTGCCACCACAAAAACCAATCCAGATCTGCCGTTTGCACGGTGACAACATACGGAACAGCGACGAAGCAGTAATTACTTCACAGCGTGGTTAGAGGTCTTCAAACTTTCAGACCTGCCAAAACTTTTTGATGCCTTTTAGAAAAGAAAAGAGCGATGACATTATGTTTCTGAAGACAATTAAAAAAAAAAATCTATGGTTATATATTTCTAAGCTTTCCACACCTGGAGGTTGGAAGAAAATAACTGACATATTCTTGTTACAGTGTACCTACGCTGACATGACAAAGAAATCTTAAGAAATGTCAATTATAGAATTTTTTTATTTTTTTACTTTTATGTCATTTATTGTTTTTTGAAGTTCGTTAGTAAGGCATCAACTGAGAGGCGCCTCAGTCGGTATGGAACTGACGGCACAGAGTATGAGAAAACGTGAGATAGAAAGTTGAGAAATGTTCAACTTTAGCGCACAAACGTCATCTGATGAAATGAAGCTACACAAGCGCTCTACATAGATTAGTCAGGCCGGCTAACTGGAGTATCTTTGGATTGTTGGAGACGCCCCAGAGAGCAGCAGGATTATTAGACAGACTGTGTAAAAGTAGATCAAACCCACCATGCTCTGATCTTGTCCCTGAACTTTAGGGAACTGCAACATTACAAGTTCAGTTCAGTCAGTTTGCCTCTGTCTTAGCTGCGTCGTTTGTCCCGTGTAGTTTGTCTTTTCCTCGTCTTCTGATTGACTAAACAAGAGATGTGTAATCGCTCATCAAACTGTTGCGCAGATTGAACATCTCATTTCGCCTGTAGAGCTGAAGGCGGGTGTTCTTCTTGGTCTAATGATGGTGTATTTACTGCTCCGTGAGCCACTGACTGTCTCCATCTCTGTCTGTCAGCCAGTTGAAGACCGCATTTTGCCTTGGGGTACAATGTCCCTGACTAAATACCACATTAGCTCCAATAACTAGACTATATTGCAGGTTATTAAAGTTCTCTTTAAGTATTTCTGCCCTCAATCCTAGCAATCACATCATAATGTACCAAAAAAGAAAAAAGAAAAAAAAGTCACAGAATGCACTGCAGTCCCTCAACTTGATTTTCTTCTTTTTGCCAGAGACTATGACGAACATTTATTCCACTGATGATTATTACCATAATATTCATGGTTACATGCTCATACTTGTAAAGTCTCGGGCAGTTTTAAATGGAAAGTTCTGCTGTGAACTCACCCTCTTCCAGATTCTGACTCCTCCTGACTAAATATTTCAAAATATTCACAGACATTTCTCTTTGACAACTGCTTTAATTCCCTTTCTTTGCTTTCAGCCTAATGAGGTAACCAACACCTTTTGCGGCGCTGGTGTACTAAAGGAACAGGTAAGGCTCAGAAGACTGGTGTTCATTACGGCTTAATGTTTGACAGAGTATCAGTGTTTTACCTTCAGAATAAACCTGACGATTTGGTTTGGTTTTGTTTGATATGATATGCTACAGTATGGTATACTACAGAATAATGTGCTATTATATGGTATGATATGGTATGGTATACTACAGAATAATGTGCTATAATTTGGTCTGGTATGGTATGGTATGCTACCTATTATATACTATGTAATGCTATAGTATGCTATGCTGTGCTATGGCATTAAGTTAGCTTGTTTTCACTGTGCGTTTCCAGGGAATCTCATTTTCTTTCTCACAGTCCAAAAAACCACTGAGGATTTGGTCAATTGTTCATTCCAAATTAACCGTAGGATGTCAGTGTTAGTGTGAGTCTTTGGTTTGTACTGTGCATGTGGTCCTGTGATTGATCGGTACCCAGCCTTCACTTGATGATTTCTGGGATTAGCTCCAATCCCTCTCTAGCTCTGGTGACTTTAGAGAGGATTAAGATGTAGGAGATGACTGAATAGATAAATGAACGCTCTACAAAGCAGTGTGTAGTTGGTGAAGGTATGTGACTGAAGTGTGGGAGTGCGTGGGGGTGGGGGCCGCCTGGTTCTTAAGTGCCTTGATGGCTCATTAAAAATAGAGAGTGACTAAAGTGTTTTGTTTCCCCGCAGCGTTTAGACCTGGTTGACGTCATTTACATCAGAGGCTGCACTGACGCCTTCTTCATCTGGCTGACGGACAACTACAAGATTATGGCTGGGCTTCTGTTGGGCATTTTACTGCCTCAGGTACACGCACAGACACAGCGGGAATTCATCTCCTACACATCCACTGCTTTTTATTCCTTTTTTTAAAATGTTTTTCCAAGAAGTAAAGGTCCACAAACTTCAATCATCTTTGGAGAGAACACTAAAATATTTTGACTCCAGTGGAAAAATTACCTTCTATTTCACTGCCCTCCAGCTCTACAAGTCCACTTTCTCTTTTGTAGTCTGTCGTCTTCTCTCATATTTATGACCTGAAAAACTACCATTTGAAGAAAAAAAAAATACTTTGGGGTTTTTATGAGGTTGTGTGCATAGTATTTCAGGTCAGCAGACGTCCCATTTTTCACCGGCAGTATTGATTGTTTTTACTTTAAACTTTGGAAAAACAATCAAAAAATATAACCGTGCTGCAGTAAATCCCACACGTTCTGCCCCCCCCCCCCCCCCCCCCCATTGCAGCACTGTTTAAGTAGATTACTCAGCTTTGACCAAGTAATATATTTAAATGAAGTATTGTTTAATTTAGGTGTTGACATTCTAGACCTCAGAAATTCACAGCGTTTACTTTAGGCCTGAACTGACACGACCTCTGAAATATTTATATACAATAAATAAATATTACCAGGCTCTCAATAGTGTTTTAATTCTGTCCCCTGGGGGGGTGGGGGTGGGGGCGCAGAAAATAATTAAGAAACAGTGTTTTAACCCATCAACTTTGTGAGCAGGCAACACTTTACTTCCACCACTGCCCTGCATATCAGAGTCTATGAATGAAGTTATAATTATAATCAATTTAATAAGAGTTTAATAAATGTTCTGTTTTTATCCCCGAGCCTCTGATATGATGAAAATTCAATTCTGGTTCTTATCAACCAGGATAACATTAGCAGCGTGATGATTAAAAACCACTATTTCATATTCTATTCACTATTTTCCATCTACTGTTTCCTTTTAATATTCCCCTTTGATAATTATTCTGAATTTTTCTGTGTTAATGAGATCACATTAGTAGATCAGATCATGTACCACACACACACACACACACACAGAGCCTTGACAGCGTCTCCATTATGACTTGGCAGAGAATGAGCTGTCACTCACCTCCTTTGACCTCCATTCATTGAACATGTACCGTTGGCACGCCTGCCTTGAAAGCAGAGAGTCCTGGGTTCGATTCCCAGAGGAACCACTCCGGCCCAATAGTTAATAATAATAGTTGCAACCATGTACTTAATGGCGCCTCCTGTGGCACCTTGTGTTAGTTGCAAAGACTCACACCGTAAGTTTCCCCATCCTTGGACTCTAGTGTAGCGTTTAGTCAGAAACTGCCGGGACTGTACACCTCCAACAATGTAGTCACAAATCCTAAATTAACCAATTACTAAAATTCATTAACTACTAATTTTAAAAGCTCACATCTACCTCTGTGTTGGTGACCTAACATAAGTAGTACATTTTCTTTAAACTTGCAGTAGTAGGACTTAAAAGAGGCAGTGAAAGAAAAATAAGACAAAACAAAAATCTCTGTCCTTGTGTTTTTGTTTTTGTTTGTTTGTAGTTCTTCGGTGTGATAGTGAGCTGGTTGTACATCACGCGTGTTGAAGACGCCATCAGTGAGTACGGTCACTACATGGACGGACTGCAGGATTCAAACATCCATAAGAGGACAGTGAAGCCACAGGGTCGTGCAGCCAAATGGTTCAAGTGCATGCCAGAGATCGACTGATGGGAGGGGACGGAGGCGGAGCTCTGGTCAACGTTCAACCACAGGTGAAAACCACTGAGTCAATGCAGATGCTGCCAAAGCAGAACTCAATTGGAACGCTGGACTTCTTCCACTCCGTTCATTTGTTTGTTTGTTTGTTTTTCTTTGTGAAAAAAAGGAATTACTAATTTAAACCACAGTTTTTTCCCAGGTCTTTTTGTAAAGGCAGTGAATGTCTCTTAAAAACCCCCAGCAGTTTTGTTTCTGTACACTTTTACTGTACAATCACACACAGGGGTGTGATTAATGATGTGCTTTGGTCGCACTTTGCCTCAGTGACAAACACAACAAAACAAAACAATCAGCTTCACCTGGTCTGCTTACACTTTTCTGGGTCAACTGCAATCAAAACAGCAGGTTTGGTCTGTGAATGCAACGGGACGGCGGTTTCTGAGCAGCGTTCAGTTTCTCACTGTTTTCACGAGGCTTCAGTCAGACACCGTCCATTTGTGTGAACAGGAGCTGATTGGAGACATTTAAGAAAATATCTGTCCTGTCTAAACATGTTTGTTATACAATAAGGACTACGTCAAGATAAAGCCAAACAAGATAAAATATATTACTTTTTATGTAAAACTTAAAGCACTGAATTTGTTCATTATATCACTGAAATGTTGTATTTCTTCCTAATCCCATTTGGAGGTAAAAAAAGCATAAAGTAAATTAAACTGGGATCAAATTAACAAAAATCACTTATTTTTTTCTTTATATATACACACGTGGACAAAATTGTTGGTACCCCTCAGTTAAAGAAGGGAAAACCCAAAATTCTCACTGAAATCACTTAAAACTTACAAAAGTAACAATAAATAAAAATTTATTGAAAATTAAATAATCAAAATCAGCCATTACTTTTGAATTGTTGATTAACATAATTATTTAAAAAACCAAACTAATGAAATAGGGCTGGACAAAATTGATGGTACCCATAACTTAATATTTTGTTGCACAACCTTTTGAGGCAATCACTGCAATTAAACGATTTCTGTATTTGTCAATGAGCATTCTGCAGCTGTCAAAATGTAGGAGACCGCAGAGATGCTGTTTTTTATGAATGGGTTTGGATGGATTTCTACTGCTGACCCTCCTGACAGCCTCAGAGCGAGGGGGGGGGGACATGAAGAGCTGGGCTGGATATAAATAAACCTAACCCTTTGAAACTGATGGCTAATTTTTGTACATAATACCGTTAGCTGTCTGAGCCATTGTGATGTGCTCATCACCACAGGAGCTGAAGTGTTTCATATCCAATCACTACTCTGTTCACTGTGAGCTGAACCAATTCAAGAGAATGATGAATTATATAGTTTATAACTTCAATATAGGAGCTCCTGTGAATCCTAATGACTTTCCTCGTGCCTTTGCACCTCTTCACCTCCTCGGCCTGATCTTTTTTCAAAGCAATCTAAAGGACAAGTTGTTAAAATCCCTCAGTGTGTATTTCTTTTTTCAAAGCAATCTAAAAGGACAAGTTGTTAAAATCCCTCAGTGTGAAAAAAAAAGTATTTCAAACAAATGATTTTTATGTATTTATTTGGCATTTATTATAAACGGAATAGTAATTTCAGTCTGCTCTGAACTGTAAATTTCATATACATTGATTATTGCTGTGTCTGAGGTGATTTTTTTTTTGTGCTGTTGGAAGAGGGATTTTTTTTATTATTATTATTATTTATTCTAATTTAAAAACTACCGGCTTTGTTCTACAAAGCTGCAGTCACAGCTGTGGTTGCTCAGGTAATGGTGTGAGAGTGAGACTCAAAAATCTTGTTATGTTATGAATAAAATAATTTGGATCTTTGTTAAAACAATGAGGCGTTCCACACCAATATTTCTTCAAACAGCCGTGCAGTTTGGATGTTTAATCAGTACTAAAATCCTGTTGTCTTTAATGTGCCATCATTGTAAAAACGGTGCAATACAATTTATAAGAAATGCAGAAAGCAGTTGTTCCATCATTGTTATTATTAGCATTGTTGTTATTATTATTAATACTGGAAATACCTGTAACAGAAACATTTCAAAACTATATAAAGTTAAAAAAACATCGGAGATTCAGTGATGGCTTTTGTTTTTTCTGATTTTTCTGACACTTAAAAAAAAACCTGCAACCAGATTCCTACTGTGAGTCACTGTATGTGTGTTGTTTATATTTGTAGTTTATTTTCATTTTTCTCCTAAATAGGATCATAACAACCGCCTCATCAGAAGACACATTAGGTGAACGGATTCTGAAACGCTCTTGACTAAGAAAATGTCGTCATCTGCATATAGGTTGATCTTAAAAACCAGACTTTAGAGACATTTAAAATAAATGATTTAAGGCCCAATACCTCACACAGTGTTGAACCACACTATAGTTTTATTCTGTTCTACACATGCAGTATATGACAGTAACAAACTAAATTTGGTGTGAGGAACCTTTCAGAATACTTTCTAAATGTTTATTTTAAACTCAGTTCAAGAAAAAAAAAAGTATTTTTGAATTACTAAAATTAGTAAAAAAAAAAGAACTTTACAGATTGAGTCTCTGGTGTTCTAATATCTTGTAACAGAACTTTGTAGTAATGTACAGTCACTGTACCATAAGAATTACTTACCTCTGAAAGAACATAATGACATAATGACTCAACATGACCTTGGCACTCGACTGGGTTTGTACTTTCTGTACAAACCCAGTCGAGTGCGATATGTTGGACATTTTCAGCTGCTTAAAACTAGCTGGAATATTCTATCAGGTAAATATTCATATTTTTTAAATCTTATATTCAAACATTTCTATTTTCCCTCACCTTACTTCTCCAACCACAGTTTACTCATGCAGTCCATGGATCGTCAATATTTTAGAAGACAATATTATAATAATTGAAAAGGAAGTCACCAAATTGAATTTAAAGCTACAGCTTGTTGTCAAAGGTTTAACGTTGTCAGGGTTAAAATGGATGAAATCATTCTTGTGGACATGATTGTTTGTTTGTCTTTCACCCTGCTGTCGCCCTGAATAGATCTCATGTATAAAGAGGTGAATAGACAAGAGTGACTAAATAATTAACCGCAGATGTCGCATTGTTTCCGAGCACGGGCTACAAACTGAGTCACAAACACAGTCTACATTTTTCATGCTTCTTTCTTACATATGAGATGTGAAAATATATATTTTTTATTTGGCATATACGTACTTAAAGTTCTTCGTTTTTTTTTTTAGCTCAACTGTTCAGTCTTTCTTCATGTGACACACACATTGTGCGACCAGTTTAGCACTTACCCACAAACTTGTCACTTAATTCAACCAGCAGGCAAACCCATATGTTTGGCATATGCAGCCTACCTTGCACCACACGGGTCCTACACACAAAAACTGTTGTTGCTACTGTATTGTTGACAAACAGCACCGAGTGCAGTAAAATAATCCAAAGGTTATATTGTGTATTTTCGGATCATTTAGATCAGGGGTCAAAGTCATTTTCACCAGGGGGCCACAATTTTTTCATTGTCTTCAAAATAGAATAAAATCATTTTGTTTGTTTTCAAAAACTCAATTAATAAAACGTGTTATTGATAATCCTCTTTCCTTTATTGCGCACACAGTAAAACCCAGGCTAATAATTGATGTGACGTGATGTAAAATTTCCGAGGTAGTCAAACAAACTCAGCTTGGCCTCCTCACAGACAACAGAGTGCAGTACCATGTTTTCAATATTTAGAGGGGCGCTGTTTTACACATCAATAAACACTCAGAGGAGGAGGCAGCTGTGTTTTTAATAAATGACAGTTATGCGCTGAAAAAAGGTGAGGACGCCTGGTTTCCCTTGGCCTTCGCAAGAAAAACAGTTTCAGCTAGTACACCATTTAAAATACTTGTTTTGGGGTTTTTTTGCCAGCCTCAAGCTCACAGTCTGACTCAGTTTTTGTGCTGCTTCTTGGATGAGATAAATGGTGACGGTTGCTTCAGGAAGGGCTTAAGGCATAAACACTGACCAACATCACGTATGGTGTAAAACCAAATAGGTCAACAGCTACAGATTTCTTTTAAATATCACACAGCTCCAGGTCCGGGGCAGTAGGTGGTTGTTCATTTGTTTGTTTGTTAGTTTTTTTTTCTTCCTCTTTCGAGGTGAGCAGCTGAGGTGTCATTAATCTGATTAGAAAACCCTGAGTTCCATTTAATTAGGCTGCTTAATTAACCCCGTGGTACTGCATCTGATCCAGGATCTGCTCTAAGACTGTTTCTTCTTTAATTTGCGCTCTGTTACAAAATGTGTGAAGTATTAATTATTACATCGATACACTTCCAAAATATCTCACTCTGACTTCATCTTTAGAAACAGAAACTATTGCTGAGATTTGTAATGACTCTGACTTCATCTTTATTTCAGTTTTAATTTTAAAATATATTTTGGTACACTGTGGAGTGGTTAGTGCAAGAGCCTGACATCACGAATGTCACTGGTTCAAACCCTAGTGGTAACTAGTGATCCTTCTGTATGGACTGGGTCTTTCACCAGCTGCACTGATGTAAAGTAATTGTTGACTCAAACTGATCATAAGTCAGTGAGCGTTAGCTGGCGGCTCGTGGGACAAATCTGGGACGCCAAACCATCCAATCCACCACAACTGGATTCCCAAATAAACATAAAAAAAAATTGTTGGATTTTTTTTTAACTAAAAAAATTTGATTTTTTTTTCTTTTTGTCATTCTCAGAATCCCCCATGCTCAAACAAATTTAACAAAAGTAGCATAACAGTAGACAGCAGTTTGGTCAAATTCATGAATATAAATAAGCACGTTAAGAAACACAGCGTCTTTACACACAACAGATGGTGTTTTGTTTCACACAAAGACCCAAAGAGGAAAATGTTTGTGTCGGATGAGAAAATGTGTTGAACAGAAACTATTGCTGAGATTTGTAATGTCCATATTTTGATTACAGACAAAACAATTTGTTAAGAAACCCCCCAGTTTCATCTCACCTCTATCATTTCGATCATTTGTTGCACATCAGTAACACCGATGCGCACACTGCAGCCCAATATGTGGCGTTTAGAGTTCATTTTCTGTCCGTGAAGGAGAATGTGATGAATTCAGTGATGTTAGCGCACAAGGAAGTTTTTCTTTTTGTAAACAAAGATTTTTTAGAAAGCAAGTTAGCTAAGGCTTTAGCTATTTGTAAATTAGCAATTAGCAAAAGTTTTCTTATCAAAAGCAGTTTTTCAAGCCAAGAGTAGCCGCTGAATTTAAGACATTCCTCTGTGAGCACAAACACTAGAGCTAACATTAGCCATAGCATTAGCTACAACAGCCCTGGTCCAGACATCGGTGTATCCGGCCCACAGTAAACTGGATGATAGTGTTAGGAGCCGAAAAGTTGAATGTAATATCTGTGATTCTACTGTGGGTCAGTACTAATATGTACACACGAGAAATATTTTTTATTTTATTTACATTTTGTTTAAGTTTAATCTGCGTTTGTTCAGTGATGGAGTCGCCACCATTAAAAGAGCTCTGGGTTTAAACTGAAGCCTTTTCTCACCGTGATCATACGCCTTTTTTGTAATGTGAGATAATGAGAGAATTCAGAAAATGGAAGAAAAATCCATTTGCCAGAAAACAAATCCAATTGGTTCCTCAGTTTCCTGTGGAGTTTGAGTAATTATTAATAATTTGCAGCATTTTTGTGCCACTCAGACTTTTGGCCTCCTGCTGCTGTCGTGGCTC